ACTATAGACTAGACTATAGACTAGACTATAGACTAGACTATAGACTAGACTATAGACTAGACTATAGACTAGACTATAGACTAGACTATAGACTAGACTATAGACTAGACTATAGACTAGACTATAGACTAGACTATAGACTAGACTATAGACTAGACTATAGACTAGACTATAGACTAGACTATAGACTAGACTATAGACTAGACTATAGACTAGACTATAGACTAGACTATAGACTAGACTATAGACTAGACTATAGACTAGACTATAGACTAGAATATAGAGACTATAGACTAGACTATAGACTAGACTATAGACTAGACTATAGACTAGACTATAGACTAGACTATAGACTAGACTATAGACTAGACTATAGACTAGACTATAGACTAGACTATAGACTAGACTATAGACTAGACTATAGACTAGACTATAGACTAGACTATAGACTAGACTATAGACTAGACTATAGACTAGACTATAGACTAGACTATAGACTAGACTATAGACTAGACTATAGACTAGACTATAGACTAGACAATAGACTAGACTATAGACTAGACTATAGACTAGACTATAGACTAGACTATAGACTAGACTATAGACTAGACTATAGACTATACTATAGACTAGACTATAGACTAGACTGTAGACTATACAATTTACTAGTTTTATGTACATATGTATCTATCATATGTCCATGCTCCTACATCCCCTTATTTCTTTACTCAAAAAGTTTCATAGCAACTCTACATTTACGAAATTTCTTTTTTACTACTCTTTATTTGTCAGTTCTAGTTAAAATGATTTATTAGTTAAAAATTTTTTGAAATATGTGATTGTAAATAAGTACAATTACTTTAAATAAGTAATGTACTAAATCGTTTTTATTTATTACTAATTACTACATTTCAATATATTATTAAATTTTATTGCCAAAAAGTGTCATAAATATTGTCTTTTCATGATTGTTTTTTGTGTTTTGTTTTGGCCTTATTACAATTGTTTTTAAAATTCAACTTGTGTTTGGTTATTGTAAGATATGAATTATTTTAAAATCCCTCATTAAAGGCTCTATTCCGAAAATTACCGCTAACGTTCATATTAATAACCGAATATAACACACTTGTTAGGTATACATTTTAGTTTTACAAATTACATTAAAATTCCGCCTCAAATAAACTTCTCACGCAAATTCCATTACAATCCCTTTATTTACAAAACCATTCAATAGTTTGACAACTCTAACCTAACGAAACTTCTTTTACTTTTCTTCTTTATTTGTCAGTTTCTTATTGAATTTCAACAAGTGCGTAAGTTATTGTCGTGATTTAGTGAAAAAATACTAAAATAATAGTTAAACTTGAGTAATAAATAAAATTTTTACAAATAAATAATAAACTAAAGTGTTGTTATATATTAATCATAAAATATAACAACAAATCATAAAATTTCCTAAAAAAATATAGAAAGCAAAAGTGTGACATTAAAAAATGTGATTTTTTTCGCATCGTTGTTTTTGTTGTTGAACTGCTTTGTATTTTTTTTGTTTTGTATTGCGCTTTGTGTTTGCATTCCTTGTCGATAATGTTGTTGTTGCTTTAAAGCTTAAACTAGCAGGTGTGTGTTTTAAAAAGAGAAGTGATGTTTCTTTAAAGCTAAGAGAAAACGTTTGTTTGTATTCATTTCTTAAGAGTATTGCATTCATTTATTTACTCTTAATTATTGAGAAAAATGAAATGCGTGATAAACTTAATAGAGAATTGCAATTGGAGGAGAAAAAAAATCTGCATTTAATAGGGTAAGTCATTTACTTTTTTGGGTTATTAAGTAAATAGATTAATAACTAATTAAGGAAAATTCAGTACTTTTTTACATTATTCGGAACATTTTGATATCGAAATATAACGAGGTATCCCCATAACATTTTCAATATTTACTTTTTCTAAATTTGATAAAATCTCAAAATACCTAGTAGTCAATAGACCAGTCTATATACAGTCTATAGTCAAGTCCATAGTCTATACTACATTCTAGTCAAGTCTAGGTCGTGTATTTAGTCTTGTCTATAGTCCAGTCTATAGTCTAGTCTGTAGTTTAGTCTAGTCTATAGTACAGTCTAGTCTGTAGTCTAGTCTATGGTCTAGTCTATAGTCTAGTCTGTAGTCTTTTCTATAGTATAGTCTATAGTCTAGTCTATAGTCTAGTCTATAGTATAGTCTATAGTCTAGTCAATATTCTAGTCTAGTGTCTAGTCTATAGTCTAGTCTGTTGTTTAGTCTAGTCTATAGTACAGTCTAGTCTATTGTCTAGTCTGTAGTCTAGTCAATATTCTAGTCATTAGTCTAGTCTATAGTCCAGTCTATAGTCTAGTCTATAGTCTAGTCTATAGTCTAGTCTATAGTCTAGTCTATAGTCTAGTCTATAGTCTAGTCTATAGTCTAGTCTATAGTCTAGTCTATAGTCTAGTCTATAGTCTAGTCTATAGTCTAGTCTATAGTCTAGTCTATAGTCTAGTCTATAGTCTAGTCTATAGTCTAGTCTATAGTCTAGTCTATAGTCTAGTCTATAGTCTAGTCTATAGCCTAGTCTATAGTCTAGTCTATAGTCTAGTCTATAGTCTAGTCTATAGTCTAGTCTATGCCTAGTCTATAGTCTAGTCTATAGTCTAGTCTATAGTCTAGTCTATAGTCTAGTCTATAGTCTAGTCTATAGTCTAGTCTATAGTCTAGTCTATAGTCTAGTCTATAGTCTAGTCTATAGTCTAGTCTATAGTCTAGTCTATAGTCTAGTCTATAGTCTAGTCTATAGTCTAGTCTATAGTCTAGTCTATAGTCTAGTCTATAGTCTAGTCTATAGGTCTAGTCTATAGTCTAGACTGTAGTCTAGTCTATAGTTAGTCTATTGCTTAGTCTATAGTCTAGTCTATAGTACAGTCTATAGTCTAGTCTATAGTCTAGTCTATATTCTAGTCTATAGTCTAGTCTATAGTCTAGTCCATAGTCTAGTCCATAGTCTAGTCCATAGTCTAGTCTATATTCTAGTCTATAGTCTAGGTTATAGTCTAGTCTATAGTCTAGTCCATAGTCTAGCCTATAGTCTAGTTATAGTCTAGTCTATAGTCTAATCTATAGTCTAGTCTATAGTCTAATCTATAGTCTAGTCTATAGTATAGTCTATAGTCTAGTCTATAGTCTAGTCTGTAGAATAGTCTATAGTATAGTCTATAGTCTAGTCTATGGTCCAGTCTATAGTCTAGTCTATATTATAGTCTATAGTCTATAGTCTAGTCTAGTCTAGTCTATAGTCTAGTCTATAGTCTAGTCTATAGTCTAGTCTATAGTCTAGTCTATAGTCTAGTCTATAGTCTAGTCTATAGTCTAGTCTATAGTCTAGTCTATAGTCTAGTCTAGTCTATAGTCTAGTCCATAGTCTAGTCTATAGTTTAGTCTGTAGTCTAGTCTATAGTCCAGTCTATAGTCTATTCTATAGTCTATAATATAGTCTAGTCTGTAGAATAGTCCAGTCTATAGTCTAGTCTATATTCTAGTCTATAGTCTAGTCCGTAGAATAGTCCAGTCTATAGCATTGTCTATAGTCTAGGCTATAGTCGCACTTATCGACTTATTATTATGTACATACATTTGTATTTATCATCATCTGTCCATGCTCCTACATCCCTTTATTTATATACTCAAACAGTTGTTTGGCAACTCTACATTTACGATTTTTTTACTTTATTTGTTAGTTTCTTCTTAAATCTTCCATCAACTGCATAGTTAAAGTGATTTATTAAATGTAACAAATTATTGTAAAAACAGTAATTCTAATTATTTAAAATTAACAATCTAAAGTGTTTTTATTTATTAACAATTACTAAAGTTCAATAAATCATTAAATTTATTAAGAAATTTTATTGTCAAGAAGTGTCATTCATCATTGTTTTTGCTCTGCAATGTGTTTTTTTTTTTTTTGCCTTACTACAGTTGTTTTTGTTGTTTGAATGCAACTAGTGTTTTGTTATTGTAAGATTTGGAATATTTTGACAAAGCACAAAAGAAATTAAATGAGATTACTGAGAGCGATTTTTTATTATTATTGCTTTTGTTGTTTTTAACGAAATAGGCATGCTGAACTTTATAAAAATGCAAATTGTAAACATGGAATTTTACTATAGGGTGAGTTGAGAGAATTTTTTATTATTTTTATAAGAAGCGATGAAAATATTTGTAAGCATCGAAAAATAACGGATTAACGTTGTGATATGTTAAATAAATACCTTAGTCTATAGACTATTTAATAAGCTAGACAAAATAGACATGTCCATTGATTAAATAACAGAATTTTCCATCATTAGACTTGTCAGTAAGCAAGTCAATTTAGTCAGTAGACTGCTTCACATACTAATCAATTAAATATACAATAGAGTAGTATATTAATTAGAAAATAGAGTACTCTATCGAATGGAACAGTATGTAGACTAGACCATAGAAAAGTCTATAGACTTAACTATAGAATAGCTCGTATGTATACTATCATAGATTAGTCCTTATTTTTGTTTGGCTAAAATCTCTTGCAGCTTTATTAATAATATCAGAGAATTTAAATAAGAATTGTATTTTTTCTCTTCTGATGTTTTGTAAAAATTTGTCCGTTAGATTACGCAGGCCAACCGTCTCATTATCTAGTTTTCCTAAGTTTCATTTAAATCCGTTGAAATCCAAATAATATTTCTCTATGGTGACAAGAAAATTTTCCAATATTGCATAGCTTGAGTTTGACTTTCACAATGAATGGGTTAACATTCTTAGGTACCACTAATCTGTATCGACTTAATTTCTTCATTGTTCATAAGTCACATGGAGATTTTCTCCAAATTTTAAAATTTGCTTTAGAAAATTGCTAAAAGTTTGAAACTCCCGTCCGAAGACTAGTCAACAGACGGCACCATAAACTAGTCTTTATTTCTCGATAACTTTAATCCTATGGCAACCCTCAGTTTTATTAAGACGTTCAAAAATCATAAAATAATTTTATTTAAAAAAATGGAAAATTATAACTCTGAAATTTCTCCACAAATTTGCGATAATCTTTGGCCCTTAATACTAGAATGCAATAACTGTGAAATAAAAAGTACCGATACCGCTGAATATTTTATACCCCAACAACAATTTGATCATTTATGGGCTCATGAACTTTTAGCTAGTAAAAATTACGAAAATTATGCCCCTCCCATAGAATTAAAATGCAAAAAATCAAGTGAAAAACATTGCATAACAACCGCTGAAGAGGAAGAAATCAAACAATTACCTTATCGTGAAAATCACACAAAAATCCTACCTCTTGATCAACAATTAGCTAATATACAACAAGATGTTGAAATAAGACAAAAATTGGCTAGAGATTTTAACCAACGTAATTATCCCTGGTATATACAAAGACCGTCTTATGAAAACGATTTTCAAATGACTCAAGAAATAAGGGAAATATTTAAGAAACCATTTGAGTATGAAATACTTAAGAATATACAACGTTGTCAATGTAATTTAATGATAATAGATATGGCTCCCGATATACCTTTAAGGAATTTAGAAGGCTGGCTTAAATTCTCTCCTTATGTAGCTCTAATAACTGTTATACATGTTAAGGAACTTTATGGGAAACTTAAAAATTTTAATAGTGCATTTCAGCCCGTATTAATGGAAACAGATAAGGGTAATACATGGCAAGAAGTGTTAAATGATTCCCTTGAATTAGGTGTTAACAAAGCTAAAGAATTATTTTTACTAGAAGATGCTGGCAAACCATTCGTTTTTGTATTTTCTAATAATCGCGGTATTTGTGTTTGGGATAAATTTAAAATATTAAAAAAATTTTGAAAATTTTCTTTATTTTTATAAAAATATAAGATTTTTTTTTAGAATTTCTCAAAAAAATCCAATTCCTCAAATATTTTCATTGATTTCTTTACTATTCGACGAGCAAATCTCCACAAACTCTTGTCCATAATAGGATTCGTAAGATTTTCCTTAAAAGGTGGCTCACGATAATGATTCATTTGGGCAACACTGCTGCTAAAGGTATAATCCCTAGAATCGGCAGCATAGTGTACGGGAAAATGATTATGGGTAGCTATAATATGATCAGTAGAATGTAGACATTTCATGGCATAACCATAGTCAGCAATATCACGCACACGTTTTACATGTTGCAGCATATAGAAATATTCTGGAAACTCTTTGGCAAAGGAAAAATTTCCCTTATAACTTGGAAAATAGGCACACAAAAAACAAAAACTGGCATAGCTTTTACACATATACTCTTTGGAATTTTCAGCTAATAACATCAGATCATGCCAGTTTTTGTAACGTTTTAAAGGTATAGGTAGTTCGTCTATATCCCAGACAGCTATGTATTTAAATTGATACATATTCCTATAAATACAATCATTATATAGTATACTTTCATGCAAACGAAAGGCATCCTTTTTTGTAATCAATTGCAAATGGCGGAATTCTGGTAAATTGGAATACTTGAGAGAAAAACTAAATGGACGATATTCTACAAATCCTGTATGTTGATAATAATTTAAAACTTTTGTTACATTATCATGTACCTCTAAGTTATAAACGATTACCTTTTGGGCTCCCAGTACACGTAATGATTCTATATATTCCACCAGGCGATAGGATATATCTTTATAAGGAAAATCTAAACCCTTTATACAAACAGCAAATTCCTTTTTCTTTTCAAAAGGTTTCAATGGTCTTTTAATTACCCTCAATATATTAGAGGCTTTATTACAGGGTGCTGCTACCAAGGACACACTTTTCGGTATAAGATCTTTATAATCTTCTGGCAGGTTACATGTTAAAATATGTGGAAAACTATATTGTGAATCATGACCCCATCTATATCTCCATATAAAATGAGTTGTCTCTACTGGCACTATCAACGGTTCGAATTTATCTTTAAACCATAATTGACAATATGTGCGAGGATAATCTTGCTGATTTTCGGAAATCAAATCAATAATAGCTAATAAACGTATTAATGTTCTATTTCCTGTCACTAATGGTCTATCGTCCAAATAAGCTCCATATAGGTAATAGGTTAGATTTCGATTCCTCAGTATTTGCCAATATTCATTTTGTATGTGTATGTCCATAATGCCCGGATACCGTGCACAAGTATAATTGTAGTTACGTACTTTACTGAAAAAAACTCCTAGATCTTCTATTGGTAAGTAGGGAATATTTTTCGCAATATGTTGCAGAATGGTTAATTTATTGGGTTCTGAAATTAAAGAAAGTATATATTATTTTAACATTTGCTAAAGAAACAAATACAGTAGTTTTCCGATTTAACGACCATTCAATTCTACGAACATCGCATTTAACGAACAAGCTAATTTTTCCTATTGACTACCTTAAATAACGAACAAAACTTGTTTTTTGTACTCTGTTTAACGAACTAATAAAAATATTATTATTAAAATGAAGATAAAATGACATTTATCAAAAATAACAAATAACCTAAGTTGTAGCAAGCGGTGCTTTTATACCCAAAACTGTAACACATTCTGGGTTCTTATTAAATTTTAGTTCGATGTAGCTATGTCCGTCCGTCCTTCAGATAATGACTTTAACGCTCATTACTCGCTTAACAATACGAGTACGCCGATGAAATTCGATTCAAACATGTTCTATACTAACTGAAATCTCTATAAATTTTATGGGAATCGGTCCATAATTGACCTTACCCTCCATATCAGGCCCCCTTAAGAAAATTACTTCAACGCTCATTACTCGCTTAAAAATACGAGTATAGCGATGAACTTCGGCTCATGACTGAATTAAAAATACAGCGATGAAATTCGACACAAATATGGTTTGAAGGTGGGTATATAAGATTCGGAATTTTGTGTTTTGTGCTATTTTTATAAAAAAAAGAATTAATTTTTATAAAATACATTTAAAAAATATTTTATGTACCTATTTTTAATTAATTTCCTACCAAAAACCCACGTTTTAGTTAGTACTGCATATAACGAACTTTTCAATTTTACGAACAGGCCTGACAACATATGGGTTCGTTAAATCGGAAAACTACTGTAGTTTATATTAAACTAGCTGAACCTGATCCACGGTACCGGCCCTTATGTTAGTGTATATTTTTCTCCATGTAAAGATCTAAGTATCTCAAAAATTTTAAAGCTTTCGTTTTATTTTACAAGAACACTTCTTACGATCCCTGGAACATATATATTCGAAACTTTGTCCAATCAGGTGCCGTAGTTTCTGGGTTTATTGATTACGAACAGATATTAATATTTTATGTATAGAGAAAGATATACATTCATAATTAAGTTTATTATACACTCCAATTTCAATTTTAAAAAATTTCCGAATTTCGAAAAATTTTAATTTCGATCCGATATTTGTCTAATTTTAATTAAATATACACATTAATTGTAATGACAAAGCCTATTGAATATGCTCGGGATCGATTAAGCTATGTCCGTTTGTCTGTATTTTTCTGAAGACCCCAGATATCTTCATCATTAAAATCTATAATAATTATTTCATTGGCTCGTAATATTTTTTTTTTTCTCTTTCACCATTACCCGCTCTCTGATCCACATTTAATTTGCTTCTATTAATAGTTAATTTTATTACACTAGAATTTTTATATTTAATTAAAAACCAAGCTATTAATACAACGTTTAAAAATATACTCAAATAAAATTTGAAATTCCGCCGCAGCATATTCGTGCTGTCGCTAATAATAGAAACTAAATAGTATAATAGTAGATATAAAAGCTTTGGGAGCTAAAACATCTCTTCTCGGTTTTAATGGAAAATCATTAAACAGTTGTTTAAATAATATATATTTAATGCATGCTAATTAAACCTTGCAATACTGATTATACCTAACAATGTTCATTATAACTTAGACTACTATGAGGGAAATGGACATTATTAGGGTATTCAAACAGGCAATAAATCAATAAAGTTTAGATATTAACACGTTCATGTATATGGGAACCGGTGTCCCAAAATTTTTTTTTTTAATTTTTCTCGATGTAGAGAGTCATTTTGAGTTCATAGCTACAGTAAATGATTATTAACATAGAAAACTAATTTGTGTACCCTACACCACTAAAGTGACGAGGGTATTATGCATTTGTGCTGCTATACATATGTGTAGTATTTCACTACATGCTTCTATACCTTTTATAAACTTGTGTTATTTACTTTATATTACTATGCTTTCAAATCAGGTTTTATATTTTTTTACTTTCAAATTTGTCTCTATAATTTTTCATTAAAGATATTAATTTTGTATAAAGAAGTAAATAAATTGTATAAATCTTTTTAAAAAATAAAATAACTTTAGTTTGTAACAAACAAAAATATTGGTGCTACACCCGCCAATCGGCTCAGAATCACTTTCTGAGTAGATTTAGCTACATATGTATGTATGTCCGTCCGTCTGTCTATCCGTCTGTGTGTCCATGTATTTGAAAATTTGATGAAATTTGGCACATCCTCTTTTTTTTTGACCAAGGACGAATGCTATTGAAATTGCTTAAAGTTAAAATCGGGCCATGTTCAGATACTCAGTTTCCTGGACGTAATTCCTAAGAATTTTCCAATCAGTGTTCGTGAGGGATATATATCCGTCTAATTTTGTATAGGTGTGCGCTGCGATATTAGTTAGTTAGTTAATTAATTAGTTAGTAGTTAGTTAGTTAGTTAGTTAGTAGTTAGTTAGTAGTTAGTTAGTTAGTTAGTTAGTATGTTAGTTAGTTAGTTAGTAGTTAGTTAGTTAGGTAGTAGTTAGTTAGTTAGTTAGTTAGTAGTTAGTTAGTTAGTTAGTTAGTTAGTTAGTTAGTTAGGTAGTTGTTAGTAGTTAAGTTAGTAGTTAGTTAGTTAGTAGTGTAGTTAGTTAGTTAGTTAGTAGTAGTTAGTTGAGTTAGTTAGTAGTTAGTTAGTTAGTTATAGTTAGTTAGTTAGTTAGTTAGTTAGTTAGTTTAGTTAGTTAGTTAGTTAGTTAGTTAGTTAGTTAGTTAGTTAGTTAGTTAGTTAGTTAGTTAGTTAGTTAGTTAGTTAGTTAGTTAGTTAGTTAGTTAGTTAGTTAGTTAGTTAGTTAGTTAGTTAGTTAGTTAGTTAGTTAGTTAGTTAGTTAGTTAGTTAGTAGTTAGTTAGTTAGTTAGTTAGTTAGTTAGTTAGTTAGTTAGTTAGTTAGTTAGTTAGTTAGTTAGTTAGTTAGTTAGTTAGTTAGTTAGTTAGTTAGTTAGTTAGTTAGTTAGTTAGTTAGTTAGTTAGTTAGTTAGTTAGTTAGTAGTTAGTTAGTTAGTTAGTTAGTTAGTTAGTTAGTTAGTTAGTTAGTTAGTTAGTTAGTTAGTTAGTTAGTTAGTTAGTTAGTTAGTTAGTTAGTTAGTTAGTTAGTTAGTTAGTTAGTTAGTTAGTTAGTTAGTTAGTTAGTTAGTTAGTTAGTTAGTTAGTTAGTTAGTTAGTTAGTTAGTTAGTTAGTTAGTAGTTAGTTAGTTAGTTAGTTAGTTAGTTAGTTAGTTAGTTAGTTAGTTAGTAGTTAGTTAGTTAGTTAGTTAGTAGTTAGTTAGTTAGTTAGTTAGTTAGTTAGTTAGTTAGTTAGTTAGTTAGTTAGTTAGTTAGTTAGTTAGTTAGTTAGTTAGTTAGTTAGTAGTTAGTTAGTTAGTTAGTTAGTTAGTTAGTTAGTTAGTTAGTTAGTTAGTAGTTAGTTAGTAGTTAGTAGTTAGTAGTTAGTTAGTTAGTTAGTTAGTTAGTTAGTAGTTAGTTAGTTAGTTAGTTAGTTAGTTAGTTAGTTAGTTAGTTAGTTAGTTAGTTAGTTAGTTAGTAGTTAGTTAGTTAGTTAGTTAGTTAGTTAGTTAGTTAGTTAGTTAGTTAGTTAGTTAGTTAGTTAGTTAGTTAGTTAGTTAGTTAGTTAGTTAGTTAGTTAGTTAGTTAGTTAGTTAGTTAGTTAGTTAGTTAGTTAGTTAGTTAGTTAGTTAGTTAGTTAGTTAGTTAGTTAGTTAGTTAGTTAGTTAGTTAGTTAGTTAGTTAGTTAGTTAGTTAGTTAGTTAGTTAGTTAGTTAGTTAGTTAGTTAGTTAGTTAGTTAGTTAGTTAGTTAGTTAGTTAGTTAGTTAGTTAGTTAGTAGTTAGTTAGTTAGTTAGTAGTTAGTTAGTTAGTTAGTTAGTTAGTTAGTTAGTAGTTAGTTAGTTAGTTAGTTAGTTAGTTAGTTAGTTAGTTAGTTAGTTAGTTAGTTAGTTAGTTAGTTAGTTAGTTAGTTAGTTAGTTAGTTAGTTAGTTAGTTAGTTAGTTAGTTAGTTAGTTAGTAGTTAGTTAGTTAGTTAGTTAGTTAGTTAGTTAGTAGTAGTTAGTTAGTTAGTTAGTTAGTAGTTAGTTAGTAGTTAGTTAGTTAGTTAGTAGTTAGTTAGTTAGTTAGTTAGTTAGTAGTTAGTTAGTTAGTTAGTTAGTTAGTTAGTTAGTTAGTTAGTTAGTTAGTTAGTAGTTAGTTAGTTAGTTAGTTAGTTAGTTAGTTAGTTAGTTAGTTAGTTAGTTAGTTAGTTAGTTAGTTAGTTAGTTAGTTAGTTAGTTAGTTAGTAGTTAGTTAGTTAGTTAGTTAGTTAGTTAGTTAGTTAGTTAGTTAGTTAGTTAGTTAGTTAGTTAGTTAGTTAGTTAGTTAGTTAGTTAGTAGTTAGTTAGTTAGTAGTTAGTTAGTTAGTTAATTAATTAATTAAATTTGGAATACTTTTAAATAAGAACAAATCAACATTCTATAAATATTTCATTTTGCAATAAAAACTTAAAAAATATTTTCTTAATTTAAATTCATACTTCTTCAAAGAAATTCAATTCTTCATATATCTTCAAAGATCTTTCTACTATTTCATCTCCATGGCGCCACAATCGATTATCTAATACTGGATTTAAACGATCATCTCTTTTTGGTGGCTCACGATAGTGATTCATTTGGGCATCGGTAGTGCGAAATGTATAACCGTTACAGTTGGCAGCATAGTGAATAGCGAAATGATTATGCGTTGCTATAATATAATCAGTATTATGGAAACATTTCATTGCTTTTCCCAAAGGAGCATGTTCTTTAACACGTCTGACATGCTGCAGCATATAGAAATAATCAGGAAACCTTTCGGTTAAAGTAGGTTCTCGTTGGTAACTAGGAAAATAAGCACATAAAAAACAAAGACTTCTATAACTCTTACACGTAGAGTTTTTTGTATCATCGGCTACTTTTACTAGATCGTGCCATTTGGTGTAGTTTTTTAAAGGAAGTGGTAATTCATCTATATCCCAAACACCGATATATTGGAATTGATACATATTTCTATAGATACAATCATTGTAGGCTATACCTTCATGCAAAATAAATGGATCCAGTTTAGTTTTAATTTGACGATGACGATAGTCGGGAAAATTGGAATATTTGAGACTAAAACTAAATGGACGATATTCTACAAATCCTGTACGTTGATAATAATTTAAAACTTTTGTAGTATTTTCATGTACCTCCAGATTATACATGGTTACTTTTTCGGCTCCCAATAGACGTAAAGTTTCTAAATATTCCACCAGACGATAAGATAAATCAATATAAGGAAAATCTAAACCCTTAATGCAAACAGCAAATTCTTTTTTCTTTTCGGAAGCTTTTAAAGGACTGTAAATCACTCTTAACATATTAGTAGCATTATCACAAGGTGCTGCTACCAACGACACACTTTTCGGTAACCACTGATCGTAATCTCTAGGCAGAGTACATGTAAGAACATAAGGGAAACTATATTGAGAATCATGAACCCATTCGTATCTCCATATAAGTTGTGTTTTCTCTACGGGCACTATAACTGGTTCGAATTTTTCTCTAAACCAAAATTGGCAATATGTTGGAGGATAATCTCTAGGATTTTTCGAAATTAAATCAATCATTGTTAGTATACGTATAAGAGTTTTATTTTTAGTCACATACGGCCTATTGTCTAGATAGGCCCCAAATAGATGATAGGTTAGATTTTTATTACGTAATATTTGCCAATATTCATTTTGGATATGAATATTCATGATGCCCGGATACCAGGCACAACTATAATTGTATGTTCGAAATGACATTAGAAAAGTTTCTAGATCTTCTATGGGCAAATAGGGAATATGTTTGGCAATGCGTTCTTGTATGACATATTTATTGGGTTCTGTAAAGAAGGTAAAAGGATTTTTTTAAATTTAAAAACTACAAATTTTTTAAAATATTTAAAAAAAATGTCAACTTCTGACTTAAAAAGCTTTAAATATACTCGTTTTATCATTATGTTTCTAATCAGAATTTTTTTCATTACCACTTCTTTGATCCACTTTTAATTTATTTCTGTTTAAAATAATTTTCTTTTCACTTAATTTTATATATAATTTTAAAAGATACAAAACAAGTATCATATTAAATATGAACATTATATAAAATTTTAAATTTCTCCAAAGCATCTTGTCACTACTCTACTAATAAATGTAACTAAAATTGTAAAACGTTATTAGAGCAATTAAATGAGGCCTTGACACATTGCTCAAATATTTGATCATACACAGAGAAAATTGTTTCGTGGTATTCATGTGGTAACCGAATTTAAGCGATTCCCAATACAATCACATGACTCGATCGGAACAATTGAAATTTTACGGTAGTCTCAACCGTTTCAATAAATAATTCAGTGATTAAAATTGACCAAGACTCAGGTGACTGCGTCAAGGAAACAAATACAGCTGTCTCATAAAAAAATTATTTATTACAAAAATAAGTAAATTAATAAAAAATATAGTTTGTTGCAGAAAGTAAATTTGAAGAATTTGACGACTATTTATTTAAGCACCTTTTTTTATGTTTTACCACTTTTTTTATATATACTATATTAGACTATATACTAGTCTGTAGACTACACTGATGATTAGATTATAGACTAGACTGTAGCTAGACTATAGATTAGACAATGGACTAGTCTGTAGACTACACTGATGATTAAATTATAGACTAGACTGTAGACTAGACTGTAGACTAGATTATAGACTAGACTATAGACTAGACTATAGACTAAGCTATAGACTAGACTATAGACAAGTCTGTAGACTACACTGATGATAAGATTATAGACTAGACTGTAGCTAGACTATAGATTCGACTATAGACTAGTCTGTAGACTACACTGATGATTAGATTATAGACTAGACCGTAGACTAGATTATAGACTAGACTATAGACTAGACTATAGACTAGACTGTAGACTAGACTGTAGACTAGATTATAGACTAGACTATAGACTAGACTAGACTATAGACTAGACTAGACTAGACTATAGACTAGACTATAGACTAGACTATAGACTAGACTATAGACTAGACTATAGACTAGACTATAGACTAGACTAGACTATAGACTAGACTATAGACTATAGACTAGACTATAGACTAGACTATAGACTAGACTATAGACTAGACTATAGACTAGACTATAGACTAAACTATAGACTAAACTATAGACTAGACTATATACTAGACTATAGACTAGACTATAGACTAGACTATAGACCAGACTATAGACTAGACTGTAGACTAGACTGTAGACTAGATGATAGACTAGACTATAGACTAGACTAGACTATAGATTAGACTAGACTAGACTAGACTAGACTAGACTAGACTAGACTAGACTAGACTATAGACTAGACTAGACTAGACTAGACTAGACTATAGACTAGACTAGACTATAGACTAGACTAGACTATAGACTAGACTATAGACTAGACTATAGACTAGACTATAGACTAGACTATAGACTAGACTATAGACTAGACTATAGACTAGACTATAGGCTAGACTATATACTAGACTATAGACTAGACTATAGACTATACTATAGACTATACTATAGACTAGACTATAGACTAGACTATAGACTAGACTATAGACTAGACTATAGACAAGACTATAGACTAGACTATAGACTAGACTTTAGACTAGACTATAGACTAGACCAGACTATAGACTAGACTATAGACTAGACTATAGACTAGACCAGACTATAGACTAGACTATAGACTAGACTATAGACTAAACTATAGACTAGACTATAGACTAGACTATAGACTATACTATAGACTAGACTATAGACTAGACTATAGACTAGACTATAGACTAGACTATAGACTAGACTATAGACTAGACTATAGACTAGACTATAGACTAGACTATAGACTAGACTATAGACTAGACTATAGACTAGACTATAGACTAGACTATAGACTAGACTATAGACTAGACTATAGACTAGACTATAGACTAGACTATAGACTAGACTATAGACTAGACTATAGACTAGACTATAGACTAGACTATAGACTAGACTATAGACTAGACTATAGACTAGACTATAGACTAGACTATAGACTAGACTATAGACTAGACTATAGACTAGACTATAGACTAGACTATAGACTAGACTATAGACTAAACTATAGACTAGACTATAGACTAGACTATAGACTAGACTATAGACTAGACTATAGACTAGACTATAGACTAGACTATAGACTAGACTACTAGACTAGACTAGACTATAGACTAGACTATAGACTAGACTATAGACTAGACTATAGACTAGACTATAGACTAGACTATAGACTAGACCATAGACTAGACTATAGACTAGACTATAAACTAGCCTATAAACTAGACTATAGACTAGACTATTGAATAGACTATAGACTAGACTATAGACTAGACTATAGACTAGACTATAGACTAGACTATAGACTAGACTATAGACTAGGCTATAGACTATGGCTATAGACTAGACTATAGACTAGACTATAGATTAGAAAATAGACTAGACTATAGACTAGGCTATAAACTAGACTATAAATTAGACTATAGACTAGGCTATAGACTAGACTATAGACTAGACTATAGACTAAACTATAGACTAGACTATAGACTAGACTATAGACTAGGCTATAGACTAGACTATAGACTAGACTATAGACTAGGCTATAGACTAGACTATATACTAGGCTATAGACTAGACTATAGACTAGGCTATAGACTAGACTATAGACTAGACTAGACTAGACTATAGACTGGACTATAGACTAGACTATAGACTAGGCTATAGACTAGACTATAGACTAGACTATAGACTAGACTATAGACTAGACTATAGACTAGACTATAGACTAGACTATAGACTAGGCTATAGACTAGACTATAGACTAGACTATAGACTAGACTAGAAACAAATACAGCTGTCTCATAAAAAAATTATTTATTACAAAAATAAGTAAATTAATAAAAAATATAGTTTGTTGCAGAAAGTAAATTTGAAGAATTTGACGACTATTTATTTAAGCACCTTTTTTTATGTTTTACCACTTTTTTTATATATACTATATTAGACTATATACTAGTCTGTAGACTACACTGATGATTAGATTATAGACTAGACTGTAGCTAGACTATAGATTAGACAATGGACTAGTCTGTAGACTACACTGATGATTAAATTATAGACTAGACTGTAGACTAGACTGTAGACTAGATTATAGACTAGACTATAGACTAGACTATAGACTAAGCTATAGACTAGACTATAGACAAGTCTGTAGACTACACTGATGATAAGATTATAGACTAGACTGTAGCTAGACTATAGATTCGACTATAGACTAGTCTGTAGACTACACTGATGATTAGATTATAGACTAGACCGTAGACTAGATTATAGACTAGACTATAGACTAGACTATAGACTAGACTGTAGACTAGACTGTAGACTAGATTATAGACTAGACTATAGACTAGACTAGACTATAGACTAGACTAGACTAGACTATAGACTAGACTATAGACTAGACTATAGACTAGACTATAGACTAGACTATAGACTAGACTATAGACTAGACTATAGACTAGACTAGACTATAGACTAGACTATAGACTATAGACTAGACTATAGACTAGACTATAGACTAGACTATAGACTAGACTATAGACTAGACTATAGACTAAACTATAGACTAAACTATAGACTAGACTATATACTAGACTATAGACTAGACTATAGACTAGACTATAGACCAGACTATAGACTAGACTGTAGACTAGACTGTAGACTAGATGATAGACTAGACTATAGACTAGACTAGACTATAGATTAGACTAGACTAGACTAGACTAGACTAGACTAGACTAGACTAGACTAGACTAGACTAGACTATAGACTAGACTAGACTAGACTAGACTAGACTAGACTATAGACTAGACTAGACTATAGACTAGACTAGACTATAGACTAGACTATAGACTAGACTATAGACTAGACTATAGACTAGACTATAGACTAGACTATAGACTAGACTATAGACTAGACTATAGGCTAGACTATATACTAGACTATAGACTAGACTATAGACTATACTATAGACTATACTATAGACTAGACTATAGACTAGACTATAGACTAGACTATAGACTAGACTATAGACAAGACTATAGACTAGACTATAGACTAGACTTTAGACTAGACTATAGACTAGACCAGACTATAGACTAGACTATAGACTAGACTATAGACTAGACCAGACTATAGACTAGACTATAGACTAGACTATAGACTAAACTATAGACTAGACTATAGACTAGACTATAGACTATACTATAGACTAGACTATAGACTAGACTATAGACTAGACTATAGACTAGACTATAGACTAGACTATAGACTAGACTATAGACTAGACTATAGACTAGACTATAGACTAGACTATAGACTAGACTATAGACTAGACTATAGACTAGACTATAGACTAGACTATAGACTAGACTATAGACTAGACTATAGACTAGACTAGACTAGACTATAGACTATAGACTAGACTATAGACTAGACTATAGACTAGACTATAGACTAGACTATAGACTAGACTATAGACTAGACTATAGACTAGACTATAGACTAGACTATAGACTAGACTATAGACTAGACTATAGACTAGACTATAGACTAGACTATAGACTAGACTATAGACTAGCTATAGACTACTAGACTATAGACTAGACTATAGACTAGACTATAGACTAGACATACTAGACTATAGACTAGACTATAGACTAGACTATAGACTAGACTTAGACTAGACTATAGACTAGACTATAGACTAGACTATAGACTAGACCATAGACTAGACTATAGACTAGACTATAACTAGCCTATAAACTAGACTATAGACTAGACTATTGAATAGACTATAGACTAGACTATAGACTAGACTATAGACTAGACTATAGACTAGACTATAGACTAGACTATAGACTAGGCTATAGACTAGGCTATAGACTAGACTATAGACTAGACTATAGATTAGAAAATAGACTAGACTATAGACTAGGCTATAAACTAGACTATAAATTAGACTATAGACTAGGCTATAGACTAGACTATAGACTAGACTATAGACTAAACTATAGACTAGACTATAGACTAGACTATAGACTAGGCTATAGACTAGACTATAGACTAGACTATAGACTAGGCTATAGACTAGACTATATACTAGGCTATAGACTAGACTATAGACTAGGCTATAGACTAGACTATAGACTAGACTATAGACTAGACTATAGACTGGACTATAGACTAGACTATAGACTAGGCTATAGACTAGACTATAGACTAGACTATAGACTAGACTATAGACTAGACTATAGACTAGACTATAGACTAGACTATAGACTAGGCTATAGACTAGACTATAGACTAGACTATAGACTAGACTATAGACTAGACTATAGACTAGATTATAGACAAGACTATAGACTAGACTATAGACTAGAATATCGACTAGATTATATTCTGGTCTATAGTCTAGAGGTGGTATCTATCTGAGCAACAGCTGATTTACTTAGTAGGTTTTAATAGAATTAAAGAAATATTCTTAAATGCATTTTCTTTTGCTGTGGTTAATATATTTATTTCATTTTAAACAGTAATTGTTTTAAACAAAAATATTTATGTAGTTGTTGTTGTAGTAGTTGTTGTACGGAATGGACAAAGTGGTGATCTACGTAAACAGGCAAAAAATAGGAAGGTGGATTCAGCTACTGGTGCACTGAACAAGAGTAAACTTGCTACAACCATCAGGTATAAGAACAAAGTCGTTAACTGCATTGTGTTAATTGATCTAACAAACGACCAACTGACTTCAACTTGAGTAAACTGAATGCTTTGCTGACATCTAGATCAGGGATATTTATACGAGAAATAGGTCAATGTTATTTTGTGCACTTCTAGTCTATTGTTTAAACAAGTGTTATTGCTAAATACTTAAATTCTTAAATAACAATTTTTATATGTAAATATTTGTATTGCAACAAATATAAAATAAAAAACAAAGTTTTATAATATGATCAGACATTGGGAAAATACGCAAATTGTATTTCTCAGTAATACATATTTGTTTAAGAATTGGTCATTCAATTGTACATGTTTTTGGTACGTGACTGATAAGACATAGAAACTGAGAATCCTATTAAAAGTTGGTTGAGTCTATACATTACTTACTTAAGTAATAGCAAGTTTTAACAGATGCAATGTAGATATTTGAAATTCAAATGTTAATTAAAAAACATATACATTTTTTTACAATGCAATTTCTGTTAAGGATTTTTGCGATGATCTCTAAGGTAAGAAAGAACAAGTTTGACTATATTAAAACTTTGAAAGGTCTTACATACTTTTAATAGCCAATGAATTCATTAATATCATTTATGTTAACAGTTGTGTTCTTAATTCCTCAAGTTCATATCTCATAAATTTACAAAAAAGCAAATTTAAGTATGTCAATAAATGGTTTTTATTTTATAAATAGCTACTTCTTCAAATTTATTATTCATTAATAAAACTGTCATCAAACCATAAACGATTTTCTAATAAAATGCATTCCTCAAATTTGCTCATCTACTTGTTGCTGGTTGCTGTTTTATTATTACTCAGTACACCACAAGCTGAATCAAGTATCCTGTTATTTTTGTGCCTTATAAGATCACCAATATGTCCATTCCGCACAACAACCACTACAACGACTACCACATAAGCTGGTGCATAAATATTCCAATCAACGAGAGCATCTTTACCTGATTCATTTGTTCAATATTTATTAATGTATTTATTTGCATCCTATTATTCCTCGAATTTGTTAATATTAATAAATCTTATCGTATGTAATTTTCGCTGCAAAGGATATTTTGTTTAATTTTTGTAACTTTTTAGAACTGAACTAGAACTGAACTAGAACTGAACTAGAACTGAACTAGAACTGAACTAGAACTGAACTAGAACTGAACTAGAACTGAACTAGAACTGAACTAGAACTGAACTAGAACTGAACTAGAACTGAACTAGAACTGAACTAGAACTGAACTAGAACTGAACTAGAACTGAACTAGAACTGAACTAAAACTGAACTAGAACTGAACTAGAACTGAACTAGAACTGAACTAGAACTGAACTAGAACTGAACTAGAACTGAACTAGAACTGAACTAGAACTGAACTAGAACTGAACTAGAACTGAACTAGACTGAACTAGAACTGAACTAGAACTGAACTAGAACTGAACTAGAACTGAACTAGAACTGAACTAGAACTGAACTAGAACTGAACTAGAACTGAACTAGAACTGAACTAGAACTGAACTAGAACTGAACTAGAACTGAACTACTGAACTAGAACTGAACTAGAACTGACTAGAACTGAACTAGAACTGAACTAGAACTGAACTAGAACTGAACTAGAACTGAACTAGAACTGAACTAGAACTGAACTAGAACTGAACTAGAACTGAACTAGAACTGAACTAGACTGAACTAGAACTGAACTAGAACTGAACTAGAACTGAACTAGAACTGAACTAGAACTGAACTAGAACTGAACTAGAACTGAACTAGAACTGAACTAGAACTGAACTAGAACTGAACTAGAACTGAACTAGAACTGAACTAGAATGAACTAGAAACTGAACTAGAACTGAACTAGAACTGAACTAGAACTGAACTAGAACTGAACTAGAACTGAACTAGAACTGAACTAGAACTGAACTAGAACTGAACTAGAACTGAACTAGAACTGAACTAGAACTGAACTAGAACTGAACTAGAACTGAACTAGAACTGAACTAGAACTGAACTAGAACTGAACTAGAACTGAACTAGAACTGAACTAGAACTGAACTAGAACTGAACTAGAACTGAACTAGAACTGAACTAGAACTGAACTAGAACTGAACTAGAACTGAACTAGAACTGAACTAGAACTGAACTAGAACTGAACTAGAACTGAACTAGAACTGAACTAGAACTGAACTAGAACTGAACTAGAACTGAACTAGAACTGAACTAGAACTGAACTAGAACTGAACTAGAACTGAACTAGAACTGAACTAGAACTGAACTAGAACTGAACTAGAACTGAACTAGAACTGAACTAGAACTGAACTAGAACTGAACTAGAACTGAACTAGAACTGAACTAGAACTGAACTAGAACTGAACTAGAACTGAACTAGAACTGAACTAGAACTGAACTAGAACTGAACTAGAACTGAACTAGAACTGAACTAAAACTGAACTAGAACTGAACTAGAACTGAACTAGAACTGAACTAGAACTGAACTAGAACTGAACTAGAACTGAACTAGAACTGAACTAGAACTGAACTAGAACTGAACTAGAACTGAACTATAACTGAACTAGAACTGAACTAGAACTGAACTAGAACTGAACTAGAACTGAACTAGAACTGAACTGACTGAACTAGAATACTAGAACTGAACTAGAACTGAACTAGAAACTGAACTAGAACTGAACTAGAACTGACTAGAACTGAACTAGAACTGAACTAGAACTGAACTAGAACTGAACTAGAACTGAACTAGAACTGAACTAGAACTGAACTAGAACTGAACTAGAACTGAACTAGAACTGAAATAGAACTGAACTAGAACTGAACTAGAACTGAACTAGAACTGAACTAGACTGAACTAGAACTGAACTAGAACTGAACTAGAACTGAACTAGAACTGAACTAGAACTGAACTAGAACTGAACTAGAACTGAACTAGAACTGAACTAGAACTGAACTAGAACTGAACTAGAACTGAACTAGAACTGAACTAGAACTGAACTAGAACTGAACTAGAACTGAACTAGAACTGAACTAGAACTGAACTAGAACTGAACTAGAACTGAACTAGAACTGAACTAGAACTGAACTAGAACTGAACTAGAACTGAACTAGAACTGAACTAGAACTGAACTAGAACTGAACTAGAACTGAACTAGAACTGAACTAGAACTGAACTAGAACTGAACTAGAACTGAACTAGAACTGAACTAGAAACTGAACTAGAACTGAACTAGAACTGAACTAGAACTGAACTAGAACTGAACTAGAACTGAACTAGAACTGAACTAGAACTGAACTAGAACTGAACTAGAACTGAACTAGAACTGAACTAGAACTGAACTAGAACTGAACTAGAACTGAACTAGAAACTGAACTAGAACTGAACTAGAACTGAACTAGAACTGAACTAGAAGAACTAGAAACTGAACTAGAACTGAACTAGAACTGAACTAGAACTGAACTAGAACTGAACTAGAACTGAACTAGAACTGAACTAGAACTGAACTAGAACTGAACTAGAACTGAACTAGAACTGAACTAGAACTGAACTAGAACTGAACTAGAACTGAACTAGAACTGAACTAGAACTGAACTAGAACTGAACTAGAACTGAACTAGAACTGAACTAGAACTGAACTAGAACTGAACTAGAACTGAACTAGAACTGAACTAGAACTGAACTAGAACTGAACTAGAACTGAAACTAGAACTGAACTAGAACTGAACTAGAACTGAACTAGAACTGAACTAGAACTGAACTAGAACTGAACTAGAACTGAACTAGAACTGAACTAGAACTTAACTAGAACTGAACTAGAACTGAACTAGAACTGAACTAGAACTGAACAAGAACTGAACAAGAACTGAACAAGAACTGAACAAGAACTGAACTAGAACTGCACTAGAACTGGGAATGTTTGTCGGTATAAAACATATAATGTCTATAGACTTGATTCTTAGCCATGTATCAACCGAAAATTTGATGGAGTTAATACCACTGAACCACTGGAAAGTTTTAATCAATATAAGAAAAATATAAATTCTTTTATGTATTAGTTAGTTTCATCAATTACATAAATACCTTTAGATATACTCTTGCTTTCCTGTTGTCTTTTTCTTTAAATCATTTTCCTCTTATTTGCTTCTTTTTTCTTCCCTTTTATGGATCATTTTAACAAAGTGTCCACCCAAAAATTAAATCGTATAATTTACCATAAACATGCCTTTAAAGAAAAAACGGCAGCATGTCTTCTTGATTTTATTGAAACAAAACAAAAATGCTCAAATTTCACATAAAAAGTATATGTGTATAATAGCAACAACAACCTAAAAAGAGCCACAACGGACATTTGCACAACAGGATATCGGAAAAATCTTTAATGATAAAACCCGCACCAATTTAGTAGGAATCTCTTATTTTATTCTATAGTTTCTTTTTATCATTCTATTAATTGTTCTTTAATGGATTTCAAAAGAATAGAACGTTAGTGAGGAGCGGTGAAAATCGGTTTTTGACTCATTTGTTGTTTAAGTTTTTGGCTCAAATAACATAAGACAAACCAAAAGATATACACAATAACAAACATATTTTACTACTTTTCTTTGTTTTCTTTTGTGGCGTTTTTATTTTTTGTGGAGCTTTTGAAGTTTTGTCTTCGTCTTTTTTGTTTGTTTTGTTTTTGTTATCAAAATCCATTAAAGGCAAATGGCCAAATGTTAAGTGTCGCCAAAATACTTAAATGGTTCACCTTCGTTGTGATGATGATGGCGTTTAACCAACAAACACTACAGCAACCAAATACTTGCACGTTGTCAGGTTTTTTTACGTGTGTGTTTGTTTGTGTTAAGGATATTTTGCATTTATGATGGTTTCTAAGTGTTTGTGTGTCCAAGTGTCTTTGTTGGCGAGTGTGATATGCAAAGTATGAAAAGAATCGAAATTATATTAAGATGTTCCTTGAAATACATTTTCAAAATTTTCTTTTTTTTACAGAAAATATTTTTTATAGAAAATTTTCCTTCGTTTGATAAAACTTCAGAATATTTATTTTTATAGAAAGATTTTTATAGAAAATTTTCGGAAATGTTTTCTTTTTATAGAAAATTTTCGGAAAATTTATCTTTTTTATAGAATATTTTGGGAAAATTTATCTTTTTTATAGAAAATTTTGGGAAAATTTATCTTTTTTATAGAAAATTTTGGGAAAATTTATCTTTTTTATAGAAAATTTTGGGAAAATTTATCTTTTTTATAGAAAATTTTCGGAAAATTTATCTTTTTTATAGAAAATTTTCGGAAAATTTATCTTTTTTATAGAATAATTTGGGAAAATTTATCTTTTTTATAAAAAATTTTCGGAAAATTTATCTTTTTTATATAAAATTTTCGCAAAATTTATCTTTTTTATAGAAAATTTTTGGAAAATTTATCTTTTTTATAGAAAATTTTTGGAAAATTTATCTTTTTTATAGAAAATTCACGGAAAATTTATCTTTTTTATAGAAAATTCACGGAAAATTTATCTTTTTTATAGAAAATTCACGGAAAATTTATCTTTTTTATAGAAAATTTTCGGAAAATTTATCTTTATTATAGAAAATTTTCGGAAAATGTATCTTTTTTATAGAAAATTCTTGGAAAATTTATATTTTTATAGAAAATTTTCGGAAAATTTATATTTTTATAGGAAATTTTCGGAAAATTTCTATTTTTATAGGAAATTTTCGGAAAATTTCTATTTTTATAGGAAATTTTCGGAAAATTTCTATTTTTTTATAGGAAATTTTCGAAAAATTTCTATTTTTATAGAAAATTTTCGGAAAATTTCTATTTTTATAGGAAATTTTCGGAAAATTTCTATTTTTATAAGAAATTTTCGGAAAATATCTCTCTTTTTATAGGAAATTTTCGGAAAATATCTCTCTTTTTATAGGAAATTTTCGGAAAATATCTCTCTTTTTATAGGAAATTTTCGGAAAATTTCACTTTTTATAGGAAATTTTCGAAAAATTTCTATTTTTATAGGAAATTTTCGGAAAATTTCTTTTTTTATAGGAAA